AAGCACATATACGTGTATATTGCTGAGCTATAGGCAGGAAGATATCTTCGCGAGCAATGTTTATAAAAGGAAACAACCATTCTCAAAAACAGATCTTAATGAACATATAACACCAAATAAAGTACAAACAAAAAAATCACCCTGCTTCTATATTTTTAAGATTATTCCCAGATCCAATATTTTTCCTGATAATTAGTAATTCTGAAATTTGTAGAATTGTATATAGCGGCATTTATATCATATTTTGGATGTCATATTCCGAATGGATGACCCTCTCATTTGATTCTTATATTAACATTACATTATATTGGGTATAAAATGAATACAATGGTATCGTAGCAGAATAGGACGGATCGGGAAGAATTCACAATTATTTCATTATCGTCCGGAAAATTTGAAACTGTTTCTTAGGAGTAAATAAATCCTGCAGAGAAATATTCTTTCCTTCTTTTGTAAAAATAAACCTATTATGCGTAATAATCTGAAGAGCCAAACGACTAATATGTGGTGTAATTTCTTAATAACCGTCACATGTCACTAATGCGCGATGCATCATAAATTCTATTTTCTAATTATTCGGGGATGTGTAACCCCATATAAACATGGTTATACAGAACTTCCACTCTCTTACATTTTTAATTACTGGGCATATTCCTATTGAATTATATTCCTCTTATCGTAGCATATTTGCTGAAAAATATAGATCGAATTAACCCGGAAAGAAGAAAAAAAAATAGAGAATAGCAAATATGTTCTTTTAACAGATTAAGTTAAGAATAATAATTTAATCCATCCGTGATAATGCCTAAAATATTTTTCCATTGACGACCTTTTAGGAATAAGAGCTGCCCTGTAAAGGATGTGTAAATTACGCAAATAATATAATGGAGAGGGAATTTTCATTTATCTTGATTTATTCTCATTTAATTTTATTTATTTCTATTTATTTATTTTTATTTATCTATACTTAATGCGTGCATTGCGTAGTAATCTTTCTCTTCTTTCCCAACTACTATTCTGCTTCTCTTATTAATGATACATTCCATTTCCTAATTGTGAAACTTAAAGATTGCATAATTGTAAGACCCCATATGTTATAAGAGATATCAGTCATGATGGGAACGAATTTTATATCATACCAGACAATTCTTTCATAAGAGGCTAGCAGAAGAAATGCCACAGTTTCGCAATATAACGCCCATAGTAAATTCTTCTTAGGACCATCCAAAGGGGCGTCTCCAATTATTCAATGCACAGAAGACATCCATTCTATGTCAATGCGGAGAATAATTTCTAATCTGAAAGATGCCTACCATATTCCACCCCAAATGGCATCAACTCTAGGCTTAAAATGCTATAAATGACCCCGCATTTCGGCTTATAAGCTGCGTAGAATTTCTTTCTTTCAAAATTACACTCCCAGCGTCGTGGAGTGTTGACCTGTATCATTGTATCCTACGATAACGCATAGAGTCTTCGTCAGCCGGGTCAATATTATCGACAGGAGGTAACCTCCATTAGTCCGTATTCATATATGCATAGTATACTATAAAAGAAGTTATCCTCCTTTGCATTCCGCAAGAATCTGTTCGATTTTTGGTATGAAGGAAAATTCCATTTTTAGGGGGAATTACTCCCTAGAAAAAATAATTTCTAATTTGTACATTATCTGGGGCAAAATTATGCGGCTTCCCCTTGTATCCTGATTATACAGAAACTGTTTTCGTGGCTTATGGACCATCTGTTTTTCGCCCTTCAGTGTTAGTTTTTTTGTCCCTATGTGTCTACCCATTTCACACGTTTAACATAAATATAAAAAAATTGGAAATGCATCTTAAAAGTGCAATATTCTATTTCTCCCTTATCCAAAGAATACGCTTCAAATATGAGTTACACAGAGTATAATCATGACAGAAATTATAAGCACCATAAGAAAAAAGTGCTATGATAATAATAAAAACTATTTGGGAAATTTTTTCTATACAAATATGTAATGAGTTGTATGCATATCATTATGAAAATGTATGTTTTTGCATATTATTATGAAAATTTATGTGTCTGCTGCTTCCAGAAGTCTCCCCTTACATGGTAATTGTGGCCAGGCCCACACCACACATGTCACAATATTTGCTTAAGCGTCTTACTATGGAAAATATGCTAAAAAGAAGTCTTTCGCGATACCAATATAATAAATCAAATAATGCAAAACCTATTAAATACGTAGCTATACATTAAAATTTTGGGAAATATCTTTGAGAATATTCCCTGTTGTTTGTGCAAGTCTCCTTTTCCAGTCCATATATCCTGATGAGCGGTGTCTATACAGGATTTTCAGCATATGAGCCCCAATCATAGATCCATCTATGTACTACTTATCATAGAAGGAGAACGTGTATATAAATGAGCATATTTAATGCAGGAATTATAAATAGACGAACAATTTCACGAAT